AGAGAATTCTTCACGTTGCTCACACAAGATTAAAACATACCAATTTTAGCTCAAAATAAAGAGATAAATATGACCATTAAGCCCATCCTGAAAGTGAAGGATAATGTTATTGAAACAAATGCGTATTTTAAATATTGGGAATACACGATAGCAAACTATTTTCATAACGTTTGCAAGATTTTTATTTTCAAGTTACATACATCTGAAATGAATCATGATTTCATGCTTTGGTTTACTGGCCTTTCTGTATATTAGTCTTTATAAAAGAAATAAAACTAACACTTGAATTGAGCACATATACAAAATGCACACTAAATGTGCATGTCTGACATATGAGCCAAACATCTTCTGTTGGCTATATGAAATGACCACCAATTACATGCATTTGTCAGTTGTACAGCCAGGCATTTGTTGTTATACATTATACATGGATTCAAACATGAACTGTTCAAAAAGAAAAATAGCCTTTTACATGAGGCATTGCGACCAAAATAATAATGATGTCAGTGTATGAGGGCGAGAAAAGTGATCATACATGAGTGATCTATGAGAAAAAAGCTATGAGAACAGGCTGAAGATCCTTCATCTCTTTAGTCTTAGGAAAAGGAGACTCAGGGGTGATCTGACTGAGGTCTTTAAATATGTTAAAGGGATTAACAAAGTGAATTATGTAGGATTCCTTCGGCCAAGTTCTGTTAGTAGAACTTGGGGTCATAATGGAAGTTGACCAAGGGTAAATTTAGCACTGATATTAGGAAATATTTTTTCACCCTAAGAGCAATTTCGATGTGGAATAGCTTGCCTGACCATATTGTTGAGGCAGAAACATTGGCAATTTTCGAGAGCAGGCTTGACTTAAAGCTAGATACCACTGAGACATTGAGTATCTGAAGTGATATATTCACAATAGTTAAAAGAAACTGGCGAGCCTAGTTGGGCTGAACAGCCTGTTATCGCCACTCATGTCATGTCATGTCATGTCATCTTGTCATCTTATCTTATCTTTATCTTATCTTATCTTATCTTTCAGACATACACAGATGTGACAAATCAGTGCCATATTCAGTGGTATGTAATTTCCTCAACAAAATGTTATATAATGAAAGATCCACAAATGCTAAAAAAGTGAACAATTTCCTTGGAATCATATCAGTTTTGAAGTCGGTAAAGGCGACGTATTGAAATTTGTGATCAGTCAACTGAATTTTCTCACAATAACAGATATTAGATTCAAAGCTAATCATTAGCTTCTTAATGTATTTGCATATTACTCCACGTAACAGAATAACTGCCAAGTTTTTTTTTTTTTTTTTTTTTTAGCATTTCCGCTCATCAATAGTGTCTTGAATTGCCTGATACATACAATCCCTTTTGGAATAAAAACTTGTCAAGAATTGCCATTACAGATAATGTACTGTATATGTCGAGCATTCATGTTGCCATATTATGAGGTCCATGTTTAAATATATACGTTTCACACGTGTTTCACAGAAGGTGAACACATTGCATGCAACGGATGCAAAGTCCATAAAACAGTCCTTCAGCAGTGTGATATAGGGCGTGTAGTGATAGTCAAAGGAAAGTATTAAATAGCTGGCTACAATGATCGAAGACACAACGAAAACAACAACAGTCTGCTATATTTCCTACACAGGAGTGCATGAGGTAAGGTCCAACACTACAAGTCAAACCAAGCTTTGCTAGAAGGTGCAGCTGTCCAACAAATTCCTCTCCTTCCTCCATTGGAGTGATTCTGGATGCAGAGCACACTGCTGTTTCAGTATACTGTAAGCACTGCCACTCCAAACTTTTCAGTGCCCTGGCTGAAAATAGTTTGTGTGCGTGTCCTAAAAGCAGGCACCTTTCGATGGATGCAACACTGGACATGATGATTCAGTTGGCCCTGGTCATGTGGGCCGGGCCTTTGGCACAGTGCCTGATGCGTCAGGTGGCCGGGAGATATGGCTTTGAGCACACAGGGATCTGTGGGCCGAGTCTGTTCATAGCAGGACGGCGAGTGTCTGCTCATAGAGTGTCCTCCAGTTTTTGCGTTAGGCTGTATTCCCTCATTCGCTGGACCTTGCAGCCCACCACAGACAAGAGGAAAATCCCTGCAAGTTTGAAACCCACCTGAAGGCCCAGGTACCTAGAAGGAAGTAAGAGAGAGTACGTCAGTTGCAGTGGGCCTCCAGCCTGTTAACTTCACCGCAGGAGAACCTCAGATCAAGAGCTGTTTTCCGCTACCTGTTTCGAAGAAGGTTGTTGTCATAGTAACCACAGGAACCCAGCTTATTCCCACAAGTGGGCCTCCACCATATACAAGAGGAGTCGATGGCTGCTCCAAATATGGCAGGAGAGGGTAACCAAGCTTGGAAAGGAGAAAGGCATAGCAACACAGAGTAGTTTTCCAGTAAATATTTAATGTTGCAGCATTACATGACTAAATGCAGAGGCGGACCATTGTCGTTTTCTAGTTCAAGTAAGTTCAAGCTATTTGCCACTGGGGGGCACTTTAGTACAAGATTAGGCAGATGCCTGAGGCAATTTAGTCATTTGTACAGTGCTGCGACTGGAATGAATATGAGACAGCAGTCAAACATCTTTCTATAGTCCTTTGGCATGATGTTGATAAGAAAACAATTTTCGCCTACATTTAAAGAAGACTTTGTAAAGGCAATGCCATTCGGAATCTCAAACAAAAAGTCAAGCAAATTACAAAATATCAGAAAGCAGTATCATTTTAATTAATTTTCTATCATTGTTTTAGATGACAGAATTTTAAAGCAGAGTCAGCGCTTCTAGACTAAATCAATCATCTTATGAAGTCAATCCTCAATGCCCCCCTCCTGTTAGCACTTCACTTACCGAGTACTCTCATGAGCATGAACTGAACTCCAATAGCAAAAGACTTCTCATCCTGAGGAACAGTCCTGCAGGAGAAAAAGAGGAGCCGAGTTATCTTTATCCCCAATTTGTTGCACAAGGCTTTTACATTTTGGCTTCTTATGCGTTTGTGGGGATGAGGATGCGTCGATGGGAAGCAGTCCGGTGAAGTGTAAGCTTAAGTTTCAGTTCAAGTACCTGAGCACCATCATGTAGATGGGATTGTGGGACAAGCTGGCGACAAACACGGCCAGGGAGATGATGACCATGACGGGCAGGAGGAGGTGGGGACAGCTGTTGGAGCATGAGCCGGGGCGAGCACTTCCTGAGGCGTCACCGTCAAGAATACAACTACAGCTGGTATAGGCCTGCAGATGAGACAATCAATCAAAGCTCTGCTCTAGCAGCATTCATGCCATTAGCATCCCACTACACTGCTCCAGCATTCATGATACCTTATTGCAGTGGTCTGGGGACTCACTGTGTCTGCTGGTTTTTGTTCCAGCCACAATTGCAATCCCAGAATTTTAATGAGTTGCTAATTTTTCTTAATTGCACTACTCATGATTATATGGATTATTTTTCCTTTGTTAATTCCGGGATTGTAATTTGCGATTGGAACAAATACAAGTGCACACAGTGGGTCGCCAGGACCAAGGGTGGGAACCACTGCCTTATTGTATTTTGCATATATGCCGTGCCAGTCAGAAGTTAGAACACACCTTATTTTAATGAAATCAGAGATTGAAAAAACAAATAAATATATTTTAATTTCCAAAAAAAGAAAAAAAATCTGAATTTCAATTTCATCAAAATAACCCATGTTTGCAACTGCAATTGTTGAGCATACGTGGATATATTTTTTCTTCTGCAGCAGTCATATGGCTCGAAGCATTCTCTCCAGTGCAGCTGTCGAAGTTCCCACAGATGTGCTGCAGTTTTAGATTGCTTCCCTTTGACCTCTCAATCCAACAAGTCCCTCCCTTGATTGATTTTAAACCTCTTGTGAATAGAGAGAATATATCTGTTTTTTTCCATATTTGGCTTCTCAGAATTCCAAAACTTTGGACGCTATCTTGTGACATAAATGTATTTTTTTTTTAACTTTTGATAACCTGCATTTTATCTTGTCCCATTTGTGGTTATTTACAAAAGGTTAAAGCGTTTACTTTTCACTATAAACAGAGTACGCAATGAAGTGCGTTCAAACTTTTGACTGGTGCAGTACCTTATTAGCTCAACAGAAATTATTACGGGCATAATTAATTGGTACCATTTTAAATTTACGACATAATCACACAATGTCTAAAATACTGTATGCAAGTTTAGCTCTCGTAAAGGATACCGCAGCAGTGCTCATGTGACTCTAGGTAAGCACTTTAGCCCATTCATCACTTTGCCACAGGTATCTCCCAACTGTCGCTTGGACTAATAAGCATTTATTTATGTAAAATCAAAATATCACACTAAAATCTTCAGAGTATGTTACGTCCCAGTGCTTTTGATTTTGTGTTTTGTGGATGTGTGTACTGCTGTGCTTGTTCTGTGTCTCTTCCATGGGTGCAGATGACATCACAGCCACATTTATGGATGCACAGCTGGAAATGTACCAAAACTGCACGCCAGTAAATAAACGCCTGCTTAAAATTTAAAACATCACTTTTGGCTCTTGGGTCCGATTTCAAATTAAGCCTATTGTTGTAGTGGCTTTGTGTTATGGCCAATACTGTATACTGGACATAGGTGGATATTGGGTCATACGAGAGTGGGGGCTCGTCCGGGGGTAACCGCAGATTTTATTTCAGTCTGCTTTCAATGTTCATTGCTACATTGGGGTCTACGCTGGACCAGCATTGTGTTTTATAATGTTAAAGAAAGAAAGATAGACAGATAGATACTTTATTGAACCCCGTGTCCTCAGCATTTCACCCATCCTATTAGCTAGGAAGAGTGGGCAGCTGCAGGGACCAATTCCAGTTCTACAGACAGTTCCTCGGTCAGGGGAACTGGAAAGAGTGTTCCTATAACGCTTGTTTTTCCAGGCGGGGGAAACCCAAGTGCCCAGAGGACACCCACGCAAACACGGGGAGAACATGCAAACTCCATACAGAGAGGCCCTGGACAGCTGGGATTCAAACCCAGAACCTCCTTATTACAAGGCAGCAGTGCTAACAACTGCGCCACCTTTAGCACCATTACTTGCTGGGCATTTCTTTGTGTAAAGTTTGCAGCTTTCTATTTTGTGACAGTGTTATTTATTATTGCTGTGTACTACATTGAGTCCCACTGAAGCCCTCGCTTCGGTTTTCACTTTGAGTTGAGCTACTTTTGTCATGTTGCAGTTTTTTCATCTCCACTTCTTTGCACTCATCAGTAATTTTGCCACCAGCTGAGAGTTGTGATTTTTTGTTAATTTCCTTGCCGAAAGCTTTGAGACAACACTTTCGTTTTTAATTCTGAAAGCTATGTTTCTCATTCTAGTTACCATGGAGTAACATTTGGAATGTGTCCTTGATAACCCAACAAGAGTACATAGAGCAGCCGGATAGCTGCAGGAAGGCTGTCCCTCTGTTAATCGAGGACTACTTTATGATTGACTCTGTTCTCTTGGAAAGGAAATAGGTCATTAAAAATGAGTTAGCGGAGGGGATGCTCAAAAAGCAAGCTTTGTTTGTTGATGCTAATACAATGGAATCCATCTGAATCAAAACGGAGAGCCCCAAAACCGCGGTACAGTTTAAACAAGTACTTGTAGAGTTAGAGGAGTTTGGGGCCGAACGAGGCAAATATGCATGTTAAGTCATGGGAGGGGGAATACTAGAGAGTGGCAGCGAATATTTGCCCAAAAAAGCCAAAAAGAGAAGCCGTATGGGCTCGTAGCTGGGTGGAGCCTCTCAAATTTGATATAAGCAGGAAGAGTCACATGGTCGCATCCCAAGGCTGCTGTGGTGGATAAATATTTCTCTATGTTCGAGTGGATGGCTATCATACTTAAAACAATATTTTCACAACTGAGAACCTCCTGTTTGGCACAGAGGCGTGGAATCTTGGTGAGTCAATTGCAAAATGTATTGTACACTCTGCTAACTGCACAATAAGTCCTGTAATCAAAGTCGAGAAAATATTGCTTTAAGCAGCCTTGGGATGCGTAGCCCCTGTTGTTGAAGAGTTTGTTAGAGGAAAAAGCTCAGGATGCTTATTCATCACTGCCTTCACAACAGAGCCTTGAATACAGTGTTGTCATGGCTGCAGTGAATAGGGCATATGAATTGATGCCAGTGACTCATCAGCAAAAGTTTAGGCCTATTGGAAAACTGATCACCAAACCTACGTTGAATTTGCCTGCAAGAAAAAGAATGTGCATGATCGATGGTGTGATGCACACAGAGTTAACTTTGAATAACGTTGTGATTCAATAATTATGGAGGCGTTCAAAATTGTGTACCCGAGAGTGCTGCCACCTATTGGCGCGAGCAAAAAGTAACTCAGTTTGCACAAGCCACGGTGTGTATGTTATCCTGTGAACAGGCCCCTGGCTGGTCTTTTCGCGGTGGTTATTCTTGAATTTGGAGTTCCTGTGGCATGCGGTCAAAAGTTTGGGGATTGGGCCGAGCACGGAAAATGAGGGACTGCAATGGTCCCTTGAAGATTTGAGAATCTCCGTTCAGATCTGAAAGTAAAATACTATTTGGTCAATTTAGAGCACGTGATCGTGAGACATGTATAAACAAACGAGACAAGAACCAGCCCCGCATATTCAATTCAACACAGCGTCACTTGAGAATATAGATCAGACCGATCCTCTCAAAAAAGCTGTAGAAACGATATCTTCAAGGTGCTCAAGAGTCCTACAACTGAAGGCAGAGCAAGAGCTCGCAATTAAGAGTTTAATGAATGGCGGAGATGTTCTGACCGTGCTGCCTACTGACTTCGGAAAAAAGCCTCATACTTAAGCGGAAAGGTGGGCAGAACTCAAACAATACACAGATCATTCCAGGCGCTAGCCTCACTAGCTCGGCAAAAATTGCCGTCAGTGACTACGAGCCCCTGTTCGCAGGCTACGAGTATTTTGTCAATCATCGACTCGTGTTTAAGGAGAAATCCCCACCGGCTCATGATGTCACTCCACGCAGAGTATCCACTGCCTGCTCATACGGTCCATCTAGGGTCATTTGTACTCCCTCTTCTGATGGATAGCAGGAAGATTTTGGAGCTAAAGGGAAAGTGAGCCATTTTTGTAAGAGGTTCGGTCATGTCATCACTGACTACAGGGTCCTGAAGAGAGAGAAGGAACCTGTTAATAGAATTCCTCCTGTCAAAATGTCCAGGCCTGAGTCTGGACTTAGTGAAAAATTACATCACCTAAAAAGGGTGATGCTCTACAGGATTATAAGCCATTCCTCATGGACGGCTTTGTGTCCTTGACTGATGAGTCTGGCATTAATTAAACCAATTAAAATACTAAGGGATACTGGGCCAGTGCAGTCCTTTCTGCTGGAGGATATTTTACTGCCGTCTGAGAAATCTTCCACAGGCACCAAGTGTCCCTGTACAGGGATTTGAGATGGGCTGCATCAAAGTGCCTTTGCACGTTATTCTGCTGAAGTCAGACCTTGCGACAAGTCGCATGCTCATGGGTGTGCAAACCAGTCTTCCTGAGGAAGCTGTATCATTCATTTTAGGGAATGACTTATCTGGAGGCTGAATTTTGGAGCACAACAAAAGTTCCAGAGTTAAATCAACTTTTAAGGTGTCTATTTGGTTCCATCTGGCAAGACTGGACTCAAATAGACTTTGTAAGAGTAAATTCCACCCTGTAAGAGTCAAATTAACTCTGAATATATTACTGTGTAGCACTGAGATGACACCAGTCCCTCATATCAAATGCCCTGTCAAATAAATGTAGAACTACACACACACACACACGCGCGCGCACACACACACACACACACACACACACACACATACACACATTTCCTGCTTTTGCTGTCACGCATGCCATGTCCAAGCGACTTGTGCCTGACCCCGGCATGATAAAGGTTGCGACTGGCTGGAGCCTGAACTCACTTATGACCGAAGCTATTCGTCTTTTACAAACCTTACTTCTGAGTTACTGTCTCCCTCTACTGCCGCAAACAGCAATAAAGCAAAGTTTGTGGGGGAGGACAGTGAAGTAGGAAGTGTTGAGGAGTCAAAGAAGCTGTCTGTAGCAGGGGAGCAGATGATTAAGACTCGAACTTTTCCTATTTTTGTCTGGAAAAACTGACAATCTCCTTTTTCTTCTTTCTGAACTGTATCAGCAGTCAGTCATGTGACCTAGCCAGGTAGAGCTCAGCCCTCTGCTGAGACGGTGTGAGCACCTCCCGGGATTCAAACCAGAAATCTCTACAGGCAAGACTCCAGCTCTTATCCACTAAGCCATAGCTTCTTAGGGTTGGCACTGTGTTACACTGGGTAGCACTGCTGCCTTACTGCAAGAAGGTTGAAGGTTTGATTCCAGCCTGGGGCCTTTCTGTGTAGAATATGTATGCTCTCCCAATGTTTTCATGGATTTCCTCCAGTCATGTAAATCAGACTAAATGGAGACTGTATGGATTGGCAAGCTGTCCAGGGTGTAGCCCAGCCATTTGCCCATTGTCAGCTGGGATAGGCTCCAGCTCCCCCGTGACCCTAGTGAGGAAGAGGCAGTATCAATAACAGATGGACCTTTCTTCTCTTTGGGAATGCAGTTTCTGAGCAGGAAATAGTTCTTCCACCAAAGGAGCTGATGTGGGAATACCCACACATACATCCTGCCTGTGAAGTCGCAAGCGCTATGTCCAGTGGACTTGTGACTGGCTCCGGCACTGTGAAGGTTAGTAGCGTTCTTGAGACCGATGATGCTTATAATCTGAGCAATTTGGTCTTCGCTAACCTTGATTCTGAACTACATTCTCCTTCTACTGTTGCAGCTGTGGATGAATCCACGTTTCTGAGGGAACACAGTGGAGGACAATCTGTTGAGAAGTTAGAGATGCTGCCTCTGGCATGGGATTAGCTGACTGGCGAGTAGATGAAAGACTGGCTCTGAGCATGCATTTCCTGCACGGGAAATAACTTTACTGCTGACTGGGAACTTTCTTAAGGAGATTAAAATATTTTAAATGGTAACAGTTCAGGAAAACTGCAAGTTGGATTGTCAGTCATTCCATATTGCATATTGCAAAGAGGTGAACAGTGTTGTTCATGGTGACTGCCTTGCTAGTCATCTGGAAGGACGCTTTGACTGTGTATTGACATGCTTTTATTGGAATGGTTTAAAATATGATTTTGAAAGAATGCTTGAGCAGAATTTTGACCTAAAACCAAAGCTGGGAGTCGGAACTCACTCACTGCTGTGTGTGGATACGTTTCCGTTACTGAATATCGCAAACCAGCTGTTTTTTTTCATCACATGCATAAAAAAAGCCAGTGTCTAATGCAGAGGAATACATTTTTGAGATTTCATATCTCAGATCTTAGAAACAGATGTTGGGATTCAGGAATAGAATGGGACATGATACGTAGTTTCTGGCGACGCCCTATCCAGATTTTGTGACAATTGACAATTAATGAATGGTTTCATTTTCAAGTATTCACATTCTATTTGACAAAATGTATTTATTCTCTTAAGGGTGGGGGCGTTGCATTCCAGTGCTACTGTATTTAGCGTTTTGTGGATGCCTGTGTACAGCTGTGCTTGTTTTGCGTCCGTACAACCAACACATTCTCCTCCCAACTGTCATCTACTGACGCTACCTGACCAAGCATCGATATACGACGAAAAGGTGGCTTTTGGCATCCTTATTTGACGTTTAGGGTTAGGGTTCGGGTTTAGGGTGCGGGATCAGGGAGTAGGGTTCATTTTAAACTGGCCTCGAATAAGGATGCCAAAAGCTTCGTTTTACGTCCTACATTGACCCTCGGTCAGGTAGCATCGCTATATAATGAGTAAGGATGCGACTGGGCTCACACAACAGGTGAATGTTGCATCATAACGGTGTAATACTAGAAACAGCAAGGCCAAATGACTGTGTATTTGAGCACAAAATGGAGAGAAGGGCACTCACCTGCACCCTGCGAGGATTCTGAGGGTCCACCGAGAAGTTGGTGCACCCGGCGTGGCAGGGCGAGATGTACTCTATGCTATCTGAACCGCACACCGGGTTGAA